ATTGTTTTGAACATTAATTATTTTGGACATTGTTTGTTTCAAGTGTTTGCTTTGGATATTGATGTAATTAGTTTGAGCATAATTTGTTTTGAATTTTAAAATTTTGAATTTGTATTTTAAATGGAAATTAAATTTAAAAAAAGGGGGCGGAGTTCTGTCAAATAATAGAAAAGAATTATTTACTGTATAACTTTGATAAATTAATGCAATATAATCGAACATATATGATATAAAACGTGCATAATTATGGACTAATATTATTTAACCTTCTTTAGCCAAAAGAAAGACAGTTTGGTCTCGTAGAGGACATTGAGTGTGTGTTTATCTCTCATTATTGTAGAAGAAATAGAGTAATGAATATGTGATTGAAATTTAAAGTAACTCTATTGGTTTGTGTGCAAAAATATTTTATTGGGTGAATGTGTGGTGGAGAATCTTATTGTAACAACCAATTTTTTGGAATAATAATAGACAACATTAGCTTAATCAAGCTCGTACGAGGTAATTGCCTCATCTGTTCTAAATTTAGTTCAACGACAAACCACTTATCAAGCTTAAAAATCTCAACCGATCAAATCCGTATCCACAGCAAATCACACCAACAAGGCAACAATAATTAATTGCATCAATTTTACAATTGAAATTACAAAGTAAAGTAGAGTAAAGAACACGAATCCTGTGAATCTTGGCAAATAAAGCAACTGCATATATTATTCTTATTCTAAACAAATCCAATCAATTTTGAGATGAATAATTAAAGACCCTAGTAAGGCGGAGGAGCATTGAAACCTAAAAAAGGGCGGCGTCCGTAGGCGGCGCCTCCACTTACGGCGGTGGGATCGTAGTCATGCACCGTATCCTTCAATTTGTGAAACCCATGCTTGAATACCCCAAAACCGAAGAGCATTCCAATGGCTATAACCACTAGTATGATGCAAAGGCAGAAACAGCACACCTTTGTTCCACAGCACATCTTGAATTTCCTTCGCTGAATTCTTTGTTGTTTTAGAGAAGAAGAAAGAAAAACTTGAATATGAGATTGAATCTGAGATTT